GAGAGAGAGAGAGAGAGAGAGAATCTCAAGTGGGCTCCATGCTCCGCGCGGAGAGTAGGAATATTAATTTTACCTTTCACACTCTTATTAACATTTTTGCTTGGTATAGAAATCTACATTTGCAGTTATTTTAATTCCATCACTTTGAAGATGCCATTCCATTGTCTTCTGATTGCCACTGGTTTTACAGTCTGTTATCATATATTTGCTCCTTTGGAACATGCCTCATTTCTTCCACTGCTCTAGACTTTTTTCCCTAGTTCTTAAAAATGGTAATATTTACATAATTATGACTTTCTCTGAATGTATCTTGCTTGAGGTTTGTGGCACTTCCAGAACCTACAGTGTGGGAGGCCAGACCCCAGTGCCAGGCTGAGACCGGGTGGAGCAACAGCTCCCTGTTGACTCAGCCAACCCGGTGGTTCTCCCTCCCATTCCCCCATTTGCAAAGGCATACGAAAGCCTTGTCAAGGCTGAGAAAGTTAATTCCTGAAGCCTGTGGTCTGTGGGTGTTGGCAGTAATGTTACCCCCCTTTTCTACCCTGGGTCAAATAGAAACAAACATGGGAACTGTGTTTTGCTAGCAATCTATCAACAAGGTCTTGTTGTGACCCGTTTAGAAAGTTCACAAGGTACACAGAACTAAATGGTTTGGCTGGCAACGATCATGTGAAACCTGTTCTTAGAATGACCTGATCCATAAGAGTCTTATAAAAGATTGTGTACAGCAACAATAAAGCCGTCACTTGGGCCATCAGCCCAGGGGCCCCTCCTATTCCCAAACTGGCTTCTCTTTTCTTTTTTTTTTCTTACATTCCCCTACCCTCAGGACCCTGATCTCGGTGTTTGTTGCGCCGGTCGCAACACTACAGCTTGATGATTTTCATAAAATTTAAAGGTTTCTTAAGAATTAACTTCAGGGGCGCCTGGGTGGCGCAGTCGGTTAAGCGTCCGACTTCAGCCAGGTCACGATCTCGCAGTCCGTGAGTTCGAGCCCCGCGTCAGGCTCTGGGCTGATGGCTCAGAGCCTGGAGCCTGTTTCCGATTCTGTGTCTCCCTCTCTCTCTGCCCCTCCCCCGTTCATGCTCTCTCTCTGTCCCAAAAATAAATAAACGTTGAAAAAAAAAAATTTTTTTAAAAAAAGAATTAACTTCAAATATTCTTTCTTGTCTTTCTGGAACTGCAATTACATTAATGTTGTCCCATCTCTGTGTTATATTCTTTTCTGGTTCCTCCCATCCTTTGGACTCTCTATACATTATTCTGAATTTTTTCTCTTCTGACCAAACTTAATTCACAATTCCTTCAGCTATATTTCATCTGGTGTTAAACTCACTCACTAAATTCTTAATTTTAGCTTTGTTTTTATTTTTTAAATTCCTAATTCTATACTGAATTTTATCCAGAATTTAACAGAATAAGAGAGAAGCAATAAGTACAGTAAAACATACATAATATTAGTCTGTACAATGTACAGGATGGCATGAAAGTAGGCAGGGGAATTTAACACTTCAATGGACACCTAAAGCTTAAGTTAAGTTGGAAATCGTATGAAACAGTTTGAGAAGGGAGATCACTATGAGCTTGAGTATGAAAACATGAAGTATATTCCCCCACATGTTTGGGGAATTACAAATTGGTATGACTAAAATTTAGGGGCAGACTAGGTAGGTAATAATGGAGGAAGACTAAAAAGAAGGCAAGGGCCAGATCACAGAAGACCTTACATACTAGATGAAGAGTTTATACCTCACCCTATAAGAAGGTTAACAAAGAAAAAAATGGTAAATTTATTCTAGAAAGGTCATTCAGGCAGAATTATGGGAAAAGGTATGAGGACAAAATAAGGCACAAATCAATTAGTAAATCTACTGGAATATCAAAGCCAGAGAAGACCAGAGCCAGAATCACAGCACCAATACAGAAGGATGGACTAATATGGTAAAGTACTGTACCCAGTCTTCAGGGACTGAATATGAAAAGGAAATAAGGTCTAATCCCAGCTTTCAAGCACTAGTCAGAGATAAGAGTACCACAGAACATTTAGAAGAAAGATAGTGTAGGATAATGCCATCTCATTTAGATCTCTTCTAGTAAAAAGGCTATGCAAGTATACAGAAGAGGTTACTATTAGAGCACATATCAGTAAAATCTGTGTTGTACCTTGAACTCTGATTATCATCCTTCAAATATAATGGCAAAGATTTTTAAAATATTTTTTATTACATCTATACCATATTTACATATAAGTATTTAACTTCTAGATATTTTCCTATTATGTTATTTTAATTAAAACAAAACCATGTTTTCTCTTACTTAAGTATTTGATTAAGGTTTTAAAACTCAAGACACTTTAGGGGCACTTATTTGGCTCAGTTGGTAAAGCATGCAATTCTTGATCTCAAGGTAGGGAGCCCAAGCCCTACACTGGGTATAGATCTTATTTAAAACAAAACAAAACAGGGGCGCCTGGGTGGCGCAGTCGGTTAAGCGTCCGACTTCAGCCAGGTCACGATCTCGCGGTCCGTGAGTTCAAGCCCCGCGTC